TACCACTTCAGTGTAGTTAGTAGAGGGAAAGATGTTGCTGACAACAAAATGGTACCATACCTTGGCTGGATTGTTTAAATTCTTCAGCCACACTATTTTAGGACGTCCATCCTTTGTTTTATCCCACTTCTCTCCTGGGTTTGTGATGCACTCCAGGATAGGTCTTGCGGCCTCCATCTCATCTTCCTCATAATAAAGGGAAATACATTTGTTATAGCACATGCAAGTGGTGACAGATGTCCTGTCACAATGGGCTATCTTCAACAAATTTTGAATGGAGAGGGAGTCATATTTGATCTCTTTCCCCCTCACGAAGCTTAAATACTGCTTCTCCACCCCCTCTTCATTCTCAGTATAAGCATTTGCAAAAAATTCCCTGCAAATGTCTTCCCTTGTCTCTACTGGCAAGGTGCAGAAGTTCCTCCATCCCCTTCTTGTGATGTTGTTGAAAAAATCAGGGTGATGTCCTATAGTGAGGTGGAGAACCCTCTCCTTGCAGATTTCCTTGCCTAGGATCTGGGTGTGGTACCTCTCCTTATGAGCTGGGGACTTTAACCTTGGCACCTCCACCCTTGGTGCGGGTTGTGAACTTGAACCGGCATCGGTTTGTTTGGTGCCTCTTTGCCTTTTGTTTCTGGTGTTTTGCTTCTACCTGACATCCTGAAATTTCATAAATGTATTCTCATCATTCACAATTCCCAAGAATTTTTTAAGGCATGGTTCCATCATGGAAAGAATTCAATCAGAACATCACAACTTGCATCAGTTTTCTAAGGAGGTGACTACCATAATTAGAATCATTTTTCTCTTACTTCTAAGCATGTATCAATTGACTTTGCATTTAGAGCATTATTTGACTATGCAGAATGAAATAATAAAATGCATTTAGAGTTTGAGTTTAGGAGTTGCATTCTCTATTTCTTTCCTCTTTTGTTGTGATGAGTCACCCTTTACTTAGAACCTAAATGCATTATCATGGCTAAATAGTTACTATATTTAACTATGATGCCTAATAATGGAATCAATGGTGGTTTACTCATCGGACATTCTTACCAAGTGATTTCCATTTAGTATTCTAGATACATAGGAGCATTTTATCAAACAGCTTGTATGCAATATGCTTGAACCATTTACTAAATCTTCTATGTCCTCCACCATTCCCTAATCTTTAGCAAGACTGCCATGTTGGGAATTCATCATGCAATTGCAAAAAATATGGTGTGCCTATTATTAATCAGTTTTAGATAAACTCAATATTTCTAATCGACACCCTCCTTGGAACCCTAGAGATTCAATTACAATATCATGAATGGAGAAAAGAATTTACTTGAAAGTTAATGCAATTTAGCAATGGAGTTGGAAGATGTATACCTGGATGATCTTGTGAAGGAGAAAGAAGAAGGATGCACTTGAGATAGAGAGGAAAAAAACTTGATAGTGTGTGCAGAGAAAGTGGAGAAGTGGGGTGAGAAAAAGATGGGGTGGGAGATAATGGGGAGGGGGGATTTTAAACACATTTTGGACCGTGGTAGCGCGCTCGAGCGGCCATTGGGGCGCTCGAGCGTGCTTTTCGAATTGCACTTTTCCTTCTTCTATCGCGCCTGTGCGCTCAGTGGTGCGCTCGAGCGCATTTGGGTAGGGATACACCCCTGTGAAATTTAATTAGCGCGCTCGAGCGGCCACTGGGGCGCTCGAGCGTGCTTAACTTGTAAATTAAACAATTCCTCATGTTGGGATGCGCTCAAGCGGCCTTTGGACGCTTGAGCGCTCCCTTCGATCCATAATTTCCTTACATTGTGCGCGCTGGAGCGCTCATCTGTGCGCTTGGGCGCGCTCTGAATAGCTTAGACTTGCCTTTTTTCTTCTTGTGGCCCCTTTGTTCAATCATCACTTGATCACCTTAATTCACCATCTAATTTTTTTTTTGTATTTTCTTACTTAATTGAGTAAAAGAAAATTAGGAAAAACACTCAAATCTAGGGTTGCCTCCTAGTTGCGCTTGTTTAACGTCACGAGTCTAACGTACCTGACTTACTTTTCCTCTACCAGGGAAAATGTGGTTGTTCCCCTGTCTATTTCCCCTCCCATGTATAATTTCAGACGTTGGTTATTGACTGTGAAGCTCCTGTCAGAATCCAGCGAACTGATCTCCACTACTCCATATGACTTCATATTCTTCACGATGAATGGTCCTGACATCTGGACTTCAATTTCCCAGGAAAGAGACGGAGGCGAGAGTTGAAAAGTAATACTTGTTGTCCCACCTTGAAGTCTCGAGGTAGGATCTTCTTTTCGTGTCACTTCTTCATTTTCTCTTTGTAGAGACTTGCACTCTTATATGCAGAGAGCCTGAACTCATCCAGTTGAAGAAGTCTTTTTTAGCCGCGATCTTGGAGTCGAAATTGAGGTACTTGATTGCCCACAAAGCTTTATGCTCTAGATCCACTGGTAAGTGACAAGCCTTCCCAAACAGTAATTGGAGAGGGGACATACCAATTGGAGTTTTGAATGCAGTCTGGTATTCCCACATTGCATCATCAAGCTTCTTGGACCAGTCTCTTCGTGAACTTCCAACCGTCTTCTCTAGTATACGCTTCAGTTCTTGGTTGGATATTTTAACTTGGCCACTTGTTTGAGGATGGTAAGGTGTGGTGATCTTGTGTTTGGCTCCACACTTGGCCAGCACGTACTCCACTTGTCTGTTGTCAAAGTGCATCCCTCTGTCACTTATGATTGCTCGCAGTACCCCGTACCTGACGAAGATATTTCTTTTGAGGAATGCAATGACTACCCGAGAATCATTAGTAGGAAGAGCAACAACCTCTACCCACTTGGAGATGTAATCAATCGCGACAAGTATGTATTTGTTGCCATAGGAAGGGGGAAGAGGTCCCATGAAGTCTATTCCCCACACATTGAAGATTTCAACCTCCAATATGTTGTTGAGGGGCATTTCATGTCTTCTAGAGATATTTCCCGTTCTCTGACATCTATCACAGGATTCAACAAACTTCCTTGCATCCTTGTAGAGGGTTGGCCAATAGAAGCCACTCATAAGTACTTTGGCGGTTGTTCTTTCTCCCGCGAAATGTCCACCGTAACTTGAACCATGTCAGTGCCATAAGATATTCATCTCTTCCTCTGGAATGCACCGTCTTATTACTCCATCAGCACATCTGTAGAAGAGGAATGGCTCATCCCATAAATATTTCTTCACATCGTGCAAAAAAAAAATTCTTTGTTGCCATGTAAAGTCTACTGGAATTTCTCCTACTGCTTTGAAGTTTGCAAAATCCGCGAACCATGGAGGTGTACTTGTGGTTTTTACTTGCTTCAATTGCAATTCCAAAATAACATTGATAGCCAATATTTGCTCATCAGGGAACTCTTCTCTGATTTTCAGTTCAGGTCCATCTTGAAGATCTTTTTCTTGGATCCTGGAGAGATGATCAGCCACCAAGTTCTCCACGCCTTTCTTGTCTCTGATCTCTACTTCAAACTCTTGAAAGAGCAGCATCCATCTAAGCAGTCGTGGTTTTGCATCCTGCTTATTCAATAGACACTTTAAAGCAGCGTGATCAGTGTAAACAATTGCTTTAGACCCCAGCAAATATGGTCTAAATTTATCAAATGCATAGACAATTGCTAGTAACTCTTTTTTAGTGGTGGCATAATTCATTTGTGCATCATTAAGAATTTTACTAGCATAGTAAATTACATGCAACAATTTATCTTCTCTTTGTCCTAAGACAGCTCCTATGGCATAATCACTAGCATCACACATTAATTTAAATGGTAAAGTGAAATCAGGTGCAGTGATTATAGGTGCAATAGTCAAGCGGTCGTTTAAAATATTAAGTGTTAACAAACATTCATCTGTGAAGTTGAATTCCTCATCCTTGACCAACAGCTTGCATAGTGGCTTTGCTATCTTGGAAAAGTCCTTGATAAAGCGCCTGTAAAAACCTGCATGACCGATAAAACTTCGAATGCCTTTAACATTAGAGGGAGAGGAAAGTTTCTCAATAAAAGATATTTTAGCTCTATCAACTTCTATACCATCTTGGGACACTTTGTGTCCTAAAACTATGCCATTTTTTTTACCATGAAGTGCTATTTTTCCCAGTTTAAAACAAGGTTTCTCTCTTGACATCTTTGTAAAACTCATGATAAATTTTCTAATCAAGTTTCAAAAGAGGGGTCAAAAACAGAAAAGTCATCCATAAAGATTTCAATAGATTTTTCAATCATATCAGAAAAGATAGAAAGCATACACCTTTGAAAAGTTACTGGAGCGTTACACAGGCCGAAAGGCATTCTTCGGTAAGCGAAGACTCCGTAAGGGCATGTGAATATTGTCTTCTCTGGATCTTCTGGAGCTACTGCTATTTGGTTGTAGCCCGAGTACCCATCCTGGAAACAGTAGAATGCATGGCCAGCTAGTCTCTCCAACATCTGGTCCAAGAAAGGAATCAGGAAGTGATCTTTCCGAGTGGTTGCATTAAGTCTTTTATAGTCAACACACATCCTCCACCCGGTGACTGTCCTTGTTGGAATCAACTCATTATTCTCGTTTCTTACCACAGTGACTCCACCTTTCTTGGGTACAGTTTGTACTGGACTTACCCATGCACTATCAGATATAGGATAGATCATTCCTGCATCCAACAATTTAACCACCTCTTTCCTCACAACCTCTTTCATGGTTGGATTAAGTCTCCTTTGCGGCTGCCTCGCAGGTTTAATATCGTCTTCCATTAGAATTTTATGAGTACAAAAGGAAGGATTTATACCTTTTAAGTCGGAGAAAGACCATCCTATGGCAGCTTTGTGTTTCTTCAACACCTTGAGAAGTTTTTCTTCTTCCATGGTTGTCAGCTCAACACTGATGATGACCGAATAAGTGTTTTTGTCACCAAGGAAAGCATATTTCATATTTGGAGGTAACTCCTTAAGCTCCACCTTTGGTGCTCCAAGAGGGATGTCATCTTTCTTTCTCTCTAATTCTTCCACCACTGGTTCTTTCCCTTTTCAACAAGCTCAGCTTCTTCGTTGATTTGCTCTAACTCAAGTGGGGAACTATCCTCTTTCATCGTGTCATCAACTGCTTCTTGAATTATGTCAACCATGAAATAGTCTCCTCCATCTGACAGATGTTTCATTGACTCAAAGACATCAATGGTGACTGTCTCTTCATTCATCATCAACATCAGTTTCCCTTGTTCGACATCGATCATTGCTCTTGCGGTGGCTAGGAGTGGCCTCCCAAGCAGTAGAGGAATCTCAGCATCTTCTTCCATATTCAGAATTACAAAATCTGCAGGGAAAATATATTTGACAATTTTTACTAAAACATCATCAATTACCCCGTCTGGTCGTCTGATCGATCTGTCAGCTAATTGGAGAAAAACTGTAGTTGGTATCAACTCTTTGATTCCAAGAGCTCTGTATATGGAAAGTGGCATCAGATTTATACTTGCTCCCAGATCACATAATTCCTTTCCTACTTCAATATTTCCTATGGCTATAGGAATACTGAAACTGCCCGGATCTTTCAGCTTGGGAGGAAGTTTCTTCTGGATGATTGCACTGCATTCCTCAGGTAAGGCCATTTTTTCGCACTTCTTCAACTTGCGCATTCTAGACAGAAGGTCTTTCATGAATTTTACATAGTTTGGCATGCTTTCCAGGGCCTCTGTGAATGGAATGTTCACTTGCAACTTCTTGAAGATCTTCAGAAATTTTGTATATTGTTGTTTCTGGACCTCTTGCTTCAGCCTCTGAGGGTATGGAACTCGTACATAAAGAGATGGATTTGCCGATTTTGGTTGCCTGTCGAGAGATTTCTTTTTCTCCTATTTGAACAGCTTCTTTTTTGGACTGCTCTTTTCAGATTCTCCTGTTTCTTCCTCTTTCTCCTCTGCAGCTGCAGGTTCATCGTTTTTCTTTTTCTCTACTGGAGGCTTTTCCAAAGGTTGGGTCACGATCCCACTTCTGGTAACAATAGACTTACATTGTACATTTGGGTTGGTGTCTATGTTACTTGGGAAGGTGCCACGGGTTTTTTCAGCGAACTGTCTTGACAGCTGGCCAATTTGAGTTTCCAAGTTCCTGATAGAAGCTTATTGATTCCGAAATGAAGCTCTGGTTTCATCTCTAAAGGCGTTTGCATTTTGAATATAGTCTGAGGTGGTCTTGGACAGCTGTGCAAAGGCTTTCTCCCACTCTGAAGTGTTGCCTTGTGGTGGGGGTTGTTGTTGCAGTGGTAAAGGAGGATTCAGCTGATAGTTTGATTTGTAACTTAACCCTGGGTGTTGATTCTTATTTTTCCACCCTTAATTATAGTTATTCCCATATTGGTTCCTCCCCAGATTATTCTGGTTCTTTTGATCGTACCAGATTCTGTTCACTTCAGCATTTTCAGGTGTCCTTGTAACACCCCATATATATCCGGTAATGTTATCATACTATCGTATTAAGCAGCGCTTAATTAAAAATGCGGAATATCTTTTTCTTTTCAATTATGATGTCATTATCAATACCAACTTGCTTATTAATCAATTAATAAAACATTGCCTGCATATAATTGCAATAAAACAGCTATCTGAAATACCTCATAACATAGATAATAAAAGTGTGGCTCTGGTCACGGAACTACAACAACGTAGACCGGACCATCTAACAGTTTATACAACTCCAAACTCAAAGTACTAACATAAAGTGTCATGGACAATCCCCATGCTCACTCAAATAAGGCAACATGCCCAACATCAGTCTCAACAACAACATAATCATAAATAGCGGAAAACATAAACAGCATCCAAATCCAGTCATGGCAGCAATACAGCATAATATCATCAACTAAGCTCTGGCCTCCTGCCGCCAGAGGCATCAGTCACCATACTACCGGAACCTGAAATAAGCATTCCCCAAATGTGGGGTAAGATCTCTAAACAAGAAATCTCAGTAAGACAAGGGGTCCTCAAGGATCTTCCACCCCAAGCTCACTTACATGTGCAATATAAGTTTAAAAGCAGTTCATCAATATCATTTCTAAAACAGTGCAATGCAGCAGATAATCATGTCATGCGTGTCAATTCTATTCTACTGGCCAGAGAAATGCAGGATTTATATACGTCTAATACCCACAATAGTGCAAGACGCTACTTGCATTCACCCCGGATCACCATCTCGTATGACGCCACATACTCAGGTTTACCGTCAAGATGAAACAACACATGCATATTAAAAGCCATTACACATAAAGCTCAAAAGCATTTCAAATATTCAAAGCATGTACCACAGCATGCATACAACCATACCCCCATAAGACATGGTGGAACCACAACATGGCTAAACCGAGGACAAGAAAGCTTACCTTGCAAGCTAACACCCAAGGCCAAGAGTCCACAGCTTAAAGTCCAAACACAGCAGATTCACAATCTGTTATGGACGACTATTATATCAATAACAATGCACCACAAGCATATAACTTAAAGACAACGCCTTTCCTTACGTTTTACGTCTTAAGGCTCCATACCAAGCCATAAGTCCTTAATCACAACGATTCTGACTTAGTTCATTAATTACAGAAGTTCAACTTCGTCAATCTAGGGTCCACAAACCCCCAATAGCCTACTGTACACACAGCACAACTACTGTTCTATGAAATCCCAGAATATCTGGATATTCCTCGGGACCATATCCGGATATGCAATATCCGGATATCTCACTGAACATATTCGGATATGCAATATCCGGATATCCAGAATCCCATATCCGGATATCTAATATCCGGATACCCAAAACCCATATCCGGATATCCAATATCCGGATATTTCACGGGCACATATCCAGATATTTCACGACAGAATGCAAAAAATGCATTTCGTGAAGATATCCTTCCAATGTTCCATTTTTAACACTTAATTACGTTAAAGCATGCATCTTTATACTGATTAAGGTCCACACCCCAGTTGGTTACTTGATTAACCCTTTAAACATGCAAAGATCACACCTTTAACCCATTAAAACACAAGCTCAAGGTAGGTACAACTCACCAAAGCTCAAAACAGAGGATCAATGGCTCATGGAGCTCACCACACTGCCTCTACAGGTTCTGGAAATGAGGTGTATGAAAATGCAACACAAAGGTTGGTCCTTTCTTCACAAAGAAGCTTCTTGAAGCTTCACAAGCCAAGAACAAGACTCCAACCACCCAAACAACCCAAAACAGCAGCTCCACACACCAAGGTCAGCACCCTCAACTCAGAAAAATGCCACCAACACACTCCCAAAGATCACTCTCACTCACCACAAGTGTTTAGGAGAAGTTTCCATGAAAGAATAAGCCTTAAAGCTCAAGCAATGAAGGAAGGGAGGCAATGGAGGCAAGTGGAAATGCTGGTCAGCCACTCTCTCACGTAGGGAAAACTGTTATCTAGGGCAATGTGCCCTTAATGAGGGTATATATAGCCCACTTAAAGATTAACACACAGTATTAACTTTAATTTCTACGCTTAGCATTTTAATCGCAAACTCTGGATTCTTAACCTACTCAATTTTACAAGAATTATCATATTTTTCTTATAATTTTCTGAGCACCTTTCCGGTACGCGCTTTTCAAAGCCAGTACCGGTTTCTAGAACCAGTTCTCAATATTTGGACTTGAAACTCGTTTTACAAGTCCTACATATTATTCTAGTAATTATCATGCACTTATTATAATTTTCCGGGATACTTTTTCGGTACGCATTTATTTCGACTAGCAGAACCGGTATCTGCACTTTTCTTCCGAAAAGCGACTTTCAACATTATTACCCACTTACTATAATTATTAAAACCTCATAATAATTATTAGGGTCAATTATGGAGTAATTTCCTATTTTCTCATAATTTATTAATTAAATTCCTTAATTAACGGTGCGGGTTCTTACAGTCCTCATGTAATCGCAATCTTCAGTTGCATGAGTACCTGCACAAATACCACAAGTAACTTGAGAATTACTAACAGAAGAAACTTGAGAATTATAAAATTGCTTTGTAAGAGCATCTAATTGTGCTTGTTGTTTTTTATTTTTTTGTAATATTTGTTCATTCTGTGCCAATATTGCATCATAACCGTCAAGCTTCATGATTCTCGCTCTCCTGCTTGAGACTGGAGCATTATCATACTCCTGAGAAGCTAAATATTCCAACAATTCCAGCGCTTCCTCTTGGGTTTTTGTTTTCAATGATCCCCCTGCTGCAGCATTCACCAAGGTTCTTGTGCTCGGCGTCATTCCTTGAAAGAAGATTCTTCCTTTCTCCCAAGCTTTAATGCCATGCTGAGGACACTTTCGGAGTAGTCCTTTAAATCTTTCCCATGCCTCATACAAAGATTCACTTTCTTTTTGTTCAAAGGAAGTGATCTCCGCTTTGAGCCTTGCCATTTTTGAAGCTGAGAAAAATCTTGCCAAGAACTTCTTTGCCAGGTCATCCTAACTGGTGATGGTTCCTTCAGGTAGTGCCAGTAGCCAAGCTCTTGCGTCTTCTTTAAGTGAACATGGGAACAATCTGAGCAGGGTGGCATCACGAGAGACTCCATTCATCTTTAATGTATCACAGTAAAGTAAGAAATCATCAAGATGACTGTAGGGGTCTTCTGTGCTTCCTCCAGCAAACTGCTCTTTCTGAATCAATTGTAGCAGCGTTGGCTTGAGCTCGAAGTTGTTAGCATCCACGGTTGTCCTAACAATGTTATTCGTCTGCGGAACTCGGGTTGGAGTCATATAATCTCCCAACTTCCTCGGAATAGGTGGAAGTTGATTGTTTTCTGCCAGTGTTTCCTCCTTTGGTTCCGTCGAACTTGATGCTTCTTTTGCTTTTCTTTCTTTTGCACTTTTTCTGAGTTTTCTTTTTGTCTTTTCTATCCCAGGATCAAATTGCAAGATTTGTGGGTTAACAGTACCTCGCATAAACTAAGATTTAAAAGATGTGTAGAAAAACAGAAAAATGCAGAAATAAAAAATAAAAAATAAAAATAGAAAAAGAATACAGAAAATTAATGAATGCAAAATATGCAGAAAATTGATGCAGAATTTTAAAGCAGAAACTGTTTTTGCAGAATTTTTAAAGTGCAAAAAATTAAAACGTCCAATCTAAACATTTTTTTAGTTACTTCTAATGTTGAAGGATCTAACCCCCGGCAACGGCGCCAAAAACTTGTTGTGACTTCGACAAGTGCACCAGTCGTAAAAGCAATAAAAGTGTACTGAGTACGAGATCGTTTCCACGAGGATTAGGTTTTCAAGCACTAGTTCGCTAACAACGATTTAGTTGGACAATCAATATTTGGATTTGAGAGAATTGAAATTGAAAACAACTAAGAACGTGCAATTTATAATTTAGAATTAAAAAGAACAATTGAAAAGAATATGATTGATTAAGAATTTAAAAACAAGCATAGTTAGGGTTTCGACTTCCCCTAATCTCCTCTATATGCAATGAATTAAACTGTCAAGAATCCGTTCTTAATATAATGCAACTCAATTCTTTCAAAGTAGGGCTCAATTCCTTGTTACCCTAAATCTATGTGATCTCAGAAGAACCCCAGTTCCCCGGTTATTCCCCA